AAGTTTATGTATTTCTTCCATGAGAAAGATAGCATGTTCAGGGAGGTCCCAGCTTGCAAACCCAGAACTCCTCCTACATAGGTCCAGCTGCATTACCACTGTGCCACCACCTGGCCTAGTATCAGTTTTATTTATTTATTTTTAAGTAAGAAATCATGACGTCCCCCAACACCATCCCCAGGAAGATGGCTATGCTGCAATCTGTCTCTTCCATTCTCTTTTCTTGGGACTTTGGGCACACATGCATGTGCCTGGCATGATTTTGAAGCCATTGAATCCAGGCCTCAAACTACAGTTGGCCATGTGAGAATGATGTGATTTTTAATTGGGTTGCCGCCCTCTAGTGGTTCTTCCCTTGGGGAGTTTTCTCACAGATGTGTGCTAACTCTCTGATAAAGGTTTGAGGGGAACTCTCTGCAGATATCTGGGACTGTCTTTGCAGCTTTCCCTTCTCTGGTACTCATATTTTTTTTTTTTTTAAGTTCTAGTCATATTGACCTTCCTTAAATCTCAACTCTATCTCTTTTTTTTTTTTTGGAGAGATTTTCACTGTAGGGCGCGTGCGCTCGCCAGACAGAGAGAGACACAGAGACAGAAAGCGAGAAATCCCCCCCCAGGGGGGGTGGTCACGCCGCAATCCCTTCTCCTCCATTCTCCTCTCGGGATCTTGGGCACGCACGCACACGTGCCCGGCGTGAGTTTTAAGCCACCGGGTCCGGGACACGAACCGCGGTCGACTACGTGGTAGTCCAGCGACATAGCCATTACTCTAACTGCTGGTTCCCTCAACTCTATCTCTTCAACTCAAGGAGATTGTTTCATCATGTTTGGATTCCTCTCCCTGCACTGCAGCCTGGGCAATTGTTAAGGCTTACCATGTTTCTTTCCTTTTTCTCAGAGTTACTGAGCTGAACTGCCTTGCATCCAGTGTCTGAAACCATAGTTTCATATGTTTTGTCTGGTTTCCTTAGTTATGTAAGACAGAAGAATGAGTCCAGCTCCTGTTACTCTATTATATTTTGAAGCAGAAGTCCCTGTAATTGTACTTTTAGTTCGTCTCTGTCCAAATAATTTTCAGAAGATTATTCTTTTTTGTTTAATTTCCAAATGTCAATAGGGCTTTTAAAAGAACATTTGCCTATCTGTTGCAAAATTTAAAAACAACTTCTAGTTTTATTGTGCTGTCATCATCAGAGAATGATGCTTAAATAATTTTTCCTTTTGAAATTTATTGATTTCTTTGTGAGCATCTTAAAGAATGTTGTTTATAGGAATTGAACATATGCACAATCATAGTCTAATTAATTATATATATTACATTTCTTGACTTTACTTTGTGCACTTGAATTCATTGCAGATTTATAGAAAAGCTCCTAATTTTAAAGTGGCTTTAAAAAATAAAACCTTGTGGGACCAGCAGGTGGCATAATGTAATGTAGCTGGACTCCCACGTTGTCGACCGCGGCTTGATTCTGGACCCAGAGGCTTAAAACTCATGCCAGATACACGTGCGTGCATGCCCAAAATCCCGAAAGGAGAAGGGAATGCAGTGTGGCTATCCCCCCTGAGGGGTGATTTGTCACTTTCTGTCTCTGTCTCTTTGGCCAATGCATGTGTCATATAGCAAAAATCTCTAAAGTAAAATAAAATAAACCTTGTTATTCCAGGTACCAGTCTTATAAATTCTGAATTTTTCTAATTGTACTAGAACTCTTGGAATATAATCTAAGACACTGAATTTTTCTAATTGTACTAGAATTCTTGGGATATAATCTAAGATCCTAGACACTTAATACCCCTTAGTGATTTAGGATGATTTTCACTTAACATTCTTTTTTTTCCTTCCAAAGAGGTTTTACTTTTCCTTTCTACTCAGAATTGATGTAAGAGCATCATGTAACCAGCAGATGGCACAATATTTACATTACTGGACTCCCACATAGTCAACCATAGTTCAAGTGTCAGACCCAGTGGCTTAAAACTCGTGTCAGGCATGTGAGTGTGCGTCCCCAAAATCCCCAGAGGAGAATGAAGAAGAAGGGATTGTAGTGTGGTCATCCCCCCTGGGTGGCAGGGGGGTGGTGATTTCTTGCTTTCTGTCTCTCTGTCTCTCTCTGTTTTTCCAGTGAGCTCATTGATTAACCTCCTTTGACAAAGAAGACACTTTGATTGTATTTTGGAACCTCTGGGCTTTGTACATTGTTTACATGTTTCTTATAAATTCAAGTAAAAAGAAATGTTTCTGACGAAAGAATATGGTATGCCATGCCACCCAAACTAACATTGTTTCACTCCACTCTTATATCCACAAAGCACAAATGACATGAAACAGGAAATAGGAAAAGCATAAAGACTTCTTAAACTTTCAAAAAACTGTTGAGAAATAACAGAAAATTCTTTCAAGAAATACAGAAATACATTAATATGGCTTATATGCCCTCCTTTGTCATTAAGACACATTTCTGTTTGTAACCTTAAGTAGCCATATTTTCACTCTTCCTAAAAATCAAGTCACCCAATAATAATATTTCACTACACTAATCTTTAAAATGCATTACTAAAATGAAAGTCTTATACACATCAATTTCTAACCTTTTGGAGCCCTCTGTGTAATAGATTTTAATAATTGGAATGAATAATTGCTCAGAAAAGCAGCACTGCTTTAACTGTGATATGATTTGGTAGTCAAATACTTGTTTTTTGAATAAAAAGGAGACGTCATGAGCATATTGGGATCCTTGTGGTTGTATCAATTAAGAGGACATTTCCGAGAAGCTTCTGAGCAAACATTTCTTATTAGGTTGATGACAGATCTGGGGTCGTCTCCCCTCACAATGGTACTGCCAGACACAATCATGCTAGTGCCTGCCTCTGCACATTTATGGACAGTGTCAGGACCTACTCTAGCATCGACCTCTATATCCAAAGATAGGAACTGGGTCCTCAACCAGTGAACCTTTAGCATCATATCTTCTACCCTCCAACGTCATAACCAAGACCATATCTATTTGGTTAGCCCACGGTGCCAAGTACTCAACTGTAGTTCCTGGTTTGATGGCAAGGCCAACTTCCGCTCCATTCTCCCAAATGTCTTTAATCAAAGTCTCTGGGTTCTCAGAAGCCACAAGATGAAAGGTGTGGTGACTGGTTCCTGCTACAGCCATCAGTTTTACACACTGTTCTAGCCTGGGCACCATTATGTGCATGTCAAAGAGAGGGTCTTGACCTTGCTTCTTCTGGAGGCTTTCTACCAAAGGGTGACCAAAGGTGATGTTGGAAACAAAATGCAAAGCCTGACCTCCTCGAAGAGCAGGGTGCATCCAGCTGCAGATAACTGGTCCCAGAGTTTAGCATCTGGAGGCAGTCAGCCTCCAAATTAACCAGATCATTTGAGGATCAGCAGGCCAGTCTTGCTGCCCAACACCATAGAGCTCCATTTAATGTTTTCAAAAATAGGAAATAAAATTCTAAAATTGTTCTAAATTACTGATTTAAGGAATAATTGGCAGGCTAATATCTAGTCTTCTTTGATGCCTACATTAGGTGTGAAGAAGTAACTAAATTACAGTAACATACTTAAATTTTAAGTCTACTTGAACTGAACCAGATTAAGACATCTATATTTTAAAGTCAAGTTTGATTGCTTATTTTTTAAGTTGTATAAGCAACGGTTTACAAGTACTTACCTTTCACCTTATTTAAGCTCATATTTTCGTTCTACAGGCAGTAGGGTTAATATATTAAATAATAATGGTTCTAATAGCTACTTTTGTCTGGTTAGTAACTGGGAAGTCTGTCCGGAGAAAGGGGCTCAAGACTTTTGATTGGAAGCAGATAGTGGGGATGGAGAACCTAAGTCTTTGGAGCTAAAGATCTGGGACTGAAGTCCAGTGCAGGTTCTGACTAGCATTCGTACTGAGCCAGTGTTCCAGGCTGTGTACATAGCCTCCAACTTCCAAAGAATCCTATAAAAGTCACCTAGGTTGTCAACCACTATCCTACTTAGCTTCCCACCTAGTTCCTCACTCCCAAACCTGGCGGAGGGATCCGTAATGTTTAGATAGACTACTCAATAATTATATCTGTACACTAATTTTAAAATTGCTTTTGTAGCCTTTCATCTTTGCAGTTTTCATTGAAAAGGTACTATGCATCCTGACCAATAATGTTTAGGGGATAACAAACTTTTTTTCCAATTGAAATAATTGCAGTTGTTTTGCACATTAAACTACTCTGTGAATATTTTTGATGTTAACATTTTTCTGTATTTGTTATAATTTTTACTTTTATAACTAAAAATGTTGGCTCGCATTTCAAAACATGAGGGGTCTTCAGAAAATGTACGGAAGATGTATATTATAAAAAGTATGTATGGATTTTAAATTGTTTGCATCCCCAAAACCAACTTCTACTTTAATTCCACTTTTACACAAACTTGAAGTTCCCTATATACCGTATTAAGAACTACATTTAATTTTCATAAAATTACACTTAAAATTAACAGCTTTAGTAAAGTTATAAGTTAATTCTTATAAAAATGGTATTCTAAAGTCTTCCTCTTAAAATCTTAAGATTAATAATACTCACATATTTCTTTGCTCCACTTTCCTAAAGAGCCAACATGTTAACAGATGTCTGTTATTATTACTACCAACATACCTTTGTTAGAAACCTTTATTTATATTTTAAAACAAGATGGTTAAACCAGTTTAATCAATCGGCAAAATCTTGTATGAATAGGCATTAGACTTAAGGAAAAAAGTTATTAGAAAAATTTTATGTAGTCCTAGACTGTCATTCTTTCTTTTCTCTTTTTTTCTTTTCTTTTCTCTTCTTTTCTTTTCTTTTTCCTTTCTCTCTCTCTATTTTTTTTTTTCTGCCCACAAATTAATTTTGCCTCAGCTCATTGCTTTGCATGCATTCTTGTGACGTTACACGACGGGAGGGAGGGAAAAAAAAGAGCGAGCTGCGACTATGTGGTGTGTATCTAAAAGTGTGTGTGTTCCAGAGGGAGAGGAGGACGCTTAAGCAAGCTGGTTTGACCAGAAACAGAACTGCCTGTGACAGATTAAGAGACAAGCAAGCCTTGGAATCCGAGAGCAAGCAGAGAGTGGAAATTTACAGCTGCTCTGTGAGTGTTCAAGTGATCATTTTCTGCTAACGTTTTCCGGTGGTAACTGTTACTCCTCAAAGAGGGAGACAGAAAGTCAAGACAGAATTGTGGAAACACTTTTCTTTGCCACACTTTGGTAACAGGAGGCAAACTCTATTAAATGGAAGATAAAGGCTACTTCATCTAAAGTGCTTTGAGCCTGAGAAAGAGCTGTCTTCAGCACCTCGCCATGTGTCTACTTTTGGTTGCTTAGACAAGTGAGGCATCTTTATAACATTTGGTGAGTATCAGCCCGGTTATTTATACTGTTTATAGAAATGGAATTAATATGATAAACTAGTTTTAATTGAGGTTTTACAATTACTGCGACTATATTCATTTTAAACCATTGCTGTTACCTTGTTTCTTTGTGCACGATGAACTGCTGTTACTAGGAGAGGTTTGAAAAAACAACTACAAAACAATACTTCTCTGTTGCCTAAGGCACTTGAACCATTACCAACTATTCTGTGTCCATGGAATATCTTATTTTGGAAGTAGGTTTTATTTACAAAGTGTTTCCAAAAATACAATGGTGACAGATACCTTTTTTTGTGTATTTCTCGACTGCATGAACATTCAGAAGTTCTCTCTGTGGTGGGTAAATTTAAGATGATCATTATGATGTTTGCTATTATAAATGATGCCATTCCCTCATAATTCAAATAAAAATGTTGATACCATTAATTAAAAGGTTTTGTAACTTAAATGGCAAATGCTTTTGTTAGATCCAGTAAGTGACACCTGATTTCCCACAGTTCTGGAATGAAAATAAAAATTAGGCAATTTGCCTATTGAATTTGCTATTTGATATAAAAGAATTTATAGAATCGATTTCTAAGTTAAGGAAAAATCAGGTATTTTGTTCTTATAGTTGATATCTAGCTCTCAAATAATCTTGTTCTTTTGAAGAACTATTATAATCAGAAGTCTAGATGTGTGTGTATGTGTGTGTGTGTGTGTGTGTGTGTGTGTGTGGTGTGCACGCACACTGAGTGTAAGTAATAAAGAAAAATAAACTTGTAAAATCTATTTACACTTCAATAAATCATTTGTATTTTCTTAAAATAGGAGATTGTATGCTAGATGTGAGTGTGTGTGTGTATCTTTTTAAAGACATGGGTGGAAGGCATGTAATTATTCTTCTGTAGGAGGAAGTATACATATTATTAATTGCTAAATTGAGTCATTCTATAAAGATGCACCATTCTAAGCAAAGTGTCTCTCATCTTTTCTCTGCTAGCCTCAAGAAATGCATCTGTCCTTAGTTATTGATTCAAGCAAATCCTTTAAGGCAGAACAACTTACCTGAAATGAAAACTTCTACAATGTCAATAAACACATTAAAGCATTTCTACCCTAGACATAAGATGACTGTACTTTCGCTAGTATTTCCTCTATGTGTACAGAAGCCTGTGGAACAGGTTTTGTGTAGTTGGTTCTTTTTTTTTTTTAATCTGTTTGACCTGTGCATAAGAAACAACTGAACTGTTCTGTGGAAACCTTTTTTGGACCAGGATCTTGCACTTAAAGTCAAAAGTAAATACAGTAGAGATAATCACAAACCAACTTTTATATCTTTACAGAATTTCCCACACTTGGTCCTTCTTGGGCTGATGGAACATTTGCATACAGCTTTACAATCTTTAGAATATATATTTTTTTAAACTAGTCATTCATTGGTGCTACCTTGGTGATGACATTTTTTTAAGCTCATTGGAATGCAAATATAAAGAATAAGTCATCAACCAATTTATAAATGCTTTGTATTTCAGAAGTTCTTTTGTGCTTGGGTTCTTGAGAATTTGGAACCCACATTCCCAATTTTCAAGTGGTTCTTGGGCTTTTATTATAGCCCAAGAATATATTATACTCACACTGTAGAAAAACAGTAGCTACCTTGAAAAATATTAGATAATTAATTTTAGTGATAAAACTAAATATAAAATAATTATGTTGAAGAAGACAGTATTTTTGTCCTAAATACAAGTGTCTTAAAACAAAATTTAATAAAAGGTGGATAGGTACTTGGAAGGGTGTTAATAATTAGGGTTTTTAGGTACTTGCATGAGTTTCCCGAGTTGATTGCATTGTTTATGGCATCTAATTTGATGCTGAAATCAGTGATTTCTCTTTTCTTGCTACAGAAATATTTCTGGTTGTTACTTTTATACTTGTCAGCCATTTCTGAAGATTATCCAGCGTGTAGCATGTAGCTGGGACCTGATATTTACACATGGGGACTAAACTGTTTCTTCGGTTCACAAAAGTGGAACTTGGTCATTTTCCCATGGCATCCTAAAAGGGAAGGAGTTTAGGGATGCACATTTTTCATTATGTGATGGCCTGAAAAGCATTGGCTGAATTGTGATATCTGAACAAAGCAATTGTAGGACAGAATTAGCTTAACTCTTTAGGAGTAAAAGGAAAGACTGATAGGACGTGGCAGTGATTCTGTGTAGGGATGGTGACGAAGGGAGAAAGGTTATAGGCTAGGTATCTTGAGTACATGGGACATTCTGAAATCAGGTGTTAACTTTAACTCAGGGGCATTATATATTTGCATGTGTTTACTAGGACCCATATGAAAACACACAAAAAACTTGGTTATGTCTATAAAAGATAAGTTTAGTTACACTGGCCCTGAAAGTTTCTTTAAAGTATTAATATATACAATTTTCAAATTAGTAATACAATAAGCATATATAATGAAATAATAATGAAATAAACAGCACAATAAATGCAGGTTATACTTATTTGGATGACTTTTAGTGACAGAAAAACTTCCATTTGGACAAGAAACACGTGCTTTATCCTGTTTGACGCTGTTACTTAAGAAGTAATATTTTTGAGTCCTAAATGACACAAATAGGTTTTAATAAATATTTATTGAATGAATTAAGGTGGCTTTGTACAATTTTCTATTTCCGAGATAAGTATACCTCTGTGCTGTTACTTGTGGAGGTACATATGCATTTACAATGTGGCTAAAAGATAAAATTTAGCTGATACTACCTTAACAAGGAAAAAATCTACTAAAGCTGTATTAGCATATTTGTTCATTGTAGTCATCTTTAGTATTCCATTGGTAACTAAAATAATTGGTTTAAACTGATGTCTTACTGTTTCTATGTGAGATAGTATACCTTCCAATTTTGTGACTTACATGACTTATATTTTCAGCAGAAATTCATTAATCTCTTCCGCGTTTGGAAGGATGAAAGATTACATTAAATTACACACCCAGAAAAACCGAATCAACCCTGAGTGTCTATAGAAAAATAGATAACTTCAGTTAAATTACTATTATCTCTACTGTCCATGTTAGTGTTTTTATAAATGACAGTTCATAGACAGGCACAGGGGCTTACTGAAGCTAAAACATAGTCATCTTATGCCATATTTTTAAACCTTGTCTTTATAACAGTAGTAGTATCTAACCAAAATTTGATATTATGTGTAATATGTATGTGCTTACAGGAAAGATTGAATAACATGAATTATGAGTTTCCCTTGATAATTCTGTTCTGAAAGAATAATCTTTGATGAATTTCAGTGAGACCCAATGCTTTGATTATAGTTACCAATTTTTTAAAGAAATATTTATTAAGTTTTCTTTATTCCTATTTAATCTGACCAGAGACACAGAATGAGAGAGAGGGAGGGAGAGAGAGAGAAAGTGAAAAAGCAAGCCAACAGGTCTGGGACTCGAACCATGGTTGGCCATGTGGGAGTCCAGTACCTCAACCACCACACTACCTGCTGGCTCCATATAGTCACAAATTTTTAAGAATACTAGCTTTAGGGCACCAGCAGGTGGCATAGTGGTGAAGGCACCGTACGCCTATAGTTGATCATGGTTTAAGTCCCGGACCCAGCAGCTTAAAAATCACTCCATGCCCAAAATCCCAGAAGGAGAATGGAGGAGGAGGATTACAATGTGCCTATCCCCCTGGAGGATGATTTTTCACTTTCCCTCTCTCTGTCTCTATCTTTTTTTGGCAAGTTCATGTGCACTATGGCAAAAACCTGAAAAAAAAATTAGCTTTAGGTCTCTGCTAGAAATTGAGATTGTGAAATTCTAATATAAAATTATCATTTTTTGACAATGATTCATAGCTAATAAATGTAGAAAATTTTAGGTCCAACCACTGACTGAAACTATTAACAGAAATGTTACTATGAACCTAATGAAAGAAGTTACAAATTGTTTATTCTGGAACAGAACTCTAATAGGATCCTTAGATAATAAATGCATTAGTAGTTGCATGTTTTTTTAACTTCATATATTCTATTTTCAATCTTACTTCAGTGGTACAGTGGGATTGTGCATATAATTCAGCAGAAATTCCAAGAGACATGGCTTTCTCTTATAAAAGAGTTTTTTTCTGAAGTAAGTCTGACCGAAACTTCCAGATGCATTAGGACACATAAAAAAGCTTCTCACAAGTTTTCCATTTCTGTGTAAATTATCCATTTTTAGAAAATGTCTCTCCCTCAAATTCTGTTAATAAAATAAAACTTATAAAAACAAAATCATTCTTATTTTGCATAGAGAAAAGAATTATCAGTGAAAGTCATTATTTATACTTTATCTTTTTTTTTTTTTTTTTTTGCTCATGTCCACATTTTCAAGTATAATATTCAGTTGTGGTCCTTCTAATTACATTTAGAATGTTTATTTAAAAATGGAAAAATCAAAGGCTAGGTATTGATTGGAATATAGTTGACATATGTAATATGCTTTATAATGGATTTGGTGTCAAAACATATGTAATAATATGAATTGTAATTCATTATCTCTGTGAAGGCAATTCTAAATTACAATTTTTTGTGTGTTGGGGAGACCTTCTTGGACACAGTAAATAGAAGTAAATAGAACTTTAAGGCGTAATGTTTTATTTTAAAATTGACATACCTGGGGCTAGCAGGTGGCATGGTGGTTAAAGGCACTGGATTCCCACATGGCTGACCTGGCGGCTTGCTTTGTCACTTTCTCTCTCTCTCTCGCTTTCAGTCTGTCCCTCACTGGTCAAATTAAAATAAGTAAATAAATAAATAAATAAATAAACGCTAAATAAAATAATTCTTTTAAAAAAATAAAATTTACATATAGTCAAATGCACTCAAGAGAATAGTTCAGTTAGTGTTGACAGATATATATATATATCTATGTAACCTCCATCTCCCTGAGTTTTAAAAATGAATATTATACACCATAGACACACTTGCGTGTACGTG